GTCGGGGCGAAACTATGTTGGGTTAACAGACAGTGTGGCCTCTTGCTTGTTGTCAAAGCGTGATGAAAATGTTTGCTTGTGAGTACATATATTCCTTGTTTTATTTATTTTAATAAACAATTTTACACACAGAGGTGGCACTCCGTTCCCTTTTGTTTTTAGCAAATAAGGGAAGTTCATTGCTAGAGTTTACATACACTTTGGTGTGCATTATAGAATTTCCTATGCTGATTGGCTGCTAACTTCTGTCAGCCGAAAATTTTCCAACCAACTCCTTCGATCAGCTGATGGAGGGATGGCGGATGAAAGGGTGCTGACAGCGGCACCTACTGTGAGAACTTCGGCCAGTTCATGAAGAACCGACTGCGCAAAGTTTGGCTGGTTCATGATGATCCCCATGTGTAAACCTTGGCCTGTTCATGAAGAACCAAACAAAATTTGAAGCGTGTATACCTGACTTAAATGTAAAGCAGCTATTATTCAATCTAAAACTCGTAAATGTCTCCTATAATGAGATATACTACAGCACACATCAGTAATGTTACAGTATGACATTAACAATAGTAGCAGCAGAGAGCATTTCCTTTCTCCAAGAAGACTTATTTAAGTACTTAACACTACTTTCAGGTCATTTCAAGTAAATACGCTTTAGCAGTAAAACCACTTAGGTAGATTAGGTTGGCCAAAAAGTTAATTAGGATTATATTTGCAGGGCCATCTTGAAAATATGTGAGCCTTCCAGAATAAATAATTGAAAATGTTTATCCACTTTTGCAAGATGAGATAATACCTCAATTATATTTGTTTCATGTTCCCAATCACATAATTAAAAAAAAATACATTTGCCTTACTTGCCTTTTACCTGTTTGAAAATCCTACCTAGCTTTCCCCTTCTATGTAATGTTAAAGGAGAACTATTGGGAGAGTGAACTATATTCTTCCCAATAGTTTGAGCCAGCATATGACACTGCAACTGCCACACGCCGGCTCTATAGCTCGGGAACTGAGCGATCACAAACTGCTGACCACTAAGCTCACAGTCTTCTACATGCAGAGAGGGGTGACTGTCATTCACCACTCCCTGCAGGGATTCTCCCCTCTCTCTGTTCCGCCCCTCTCTCTGGCTCTAGAGAGGCAGAGGCAGCGGGTTGGATCTTGACAATAATGTGAGGATCTTTCCCGGCTGCAGTGTGGTTCTGCGCTGTCAGCATATATATTAGTGAATGTACTCCTGTGACCCAAAAGAGAACTAAAGTCAAAAAAGGTTTGGCTATAGTTCTCTTGTAAGGAGGGGGCTGGGAGCTATGTTTGCCATAATTAACCTTGTCTATACTATGCTGGAAGATCTCACTATCAGATGTAAACTAGAGGACTGTCATTTCAAAGGCTTACAACTCTTGGGTGGTACATTGTATATTGTCACTTTAAAAAAAAAAAGTCCCTCAGTTTGATCCTCTAATTGCACTTTTCAAGCTATTCTGAGCATTACAAGCAGCCTTTAGAGATTTATTTTTATTATTTTTAGGTATGCTGTGTGAATGGGAACACATGACAAACATATAGTGGCTGTTTCCCAGATTTGACTGCAAAAGTGGAACTACTGTCTATTTATAAAGCAAGTCACCAGTATTTAAAATTACAACTGAAGTACTCTGTAAAGAAAGCAGCACTATTCTTACTTGTCCAGTGGCCCATTTGCTAAAACTTTGCTATGTGGCAGAGTTCCTGGCACCAATTTCTATACCACACTTCTGGATGTGCAGAATTGCATGTCCCCTGCTGGCCGTTGTTGCTCCTCCCACTAACCCACGAGTGGGCAATTCATTTTCTATGGGGTCAACACATTACTGTGAAGGTGCATAGGCACACATGCACGTACATAAACTGATAACAAATTTAATAGGGGGCAACTAATGTAGGGGGCACTAATTAGTTGTCCCCATTAGCATCCCCCCTTACATTGTTTCTTCCCATCAGAGTGGCCCCCTATGTTGTAATTAATGTTAGAGGGCACTGTGATAGGGGCAACTAATGTAAGGGGGCACTCCAATGAGGACAACTAATAATTAGTTGTCTACACCAGAGTGTCTCCTTAAATTGATTGTGCTAATCAGAGTGCCCCTCTTATTTTCATAGTTTCATAATTAATGTATGGGGGCACTCTGATGGGGACAACCAATGTAAAGTGGTACCCTGATGGGGACAACTAATTATTAGTTGTCCCCATTAGTGTGCCCATTACATCGTTTGTGCCCTTTAGAGTGCCCCTTTATATTATTGTCCCCCAAATACCTTATTGTTCTACTTTATTGGTAGGCCAGAGGTGGGAACCGGAAGGTGGAGCAGGCTGCAGGAGAAGACGGAAGATTTTTCTTCCTCCTGTAATGCTGAGGCTGGTGAACACATTTGACGTCACTGGTTGCCAGGACCGCCTGGCGGTTCTAGCAACCAATGACTGCAGAGGAGATGGACACCTAATGTCATTGCGTGCTAGGATGCCAGCGGTCCTAGCAACCAATTGTTGAAAGAAGAGGGCCTGCGCTGGGCTATGGTTTGCAGTAGATGCACCAGACTTGGAGGCAGGCACATACCCTATCAGCCAGCTGTAACCAAGTGCAGGTTCGCAATCGGTCCGGGTCCTGACCGCGGGCTGGACAGGGAAAACCAAATGGCCAGATGTGGCCTGAAGGCTGTAAAATGCCCAGGTTTGCATTAACCTCTATGTCACTATTGTGTCCTGTAGGGACTAAAGTGAAGTTTCATCAAATGGGCTGCTGGACAAGGAAGTATATTGTTGATTTCTTTACAGGGTACGTCAATTGTTAACCCCTTGACAGGGTTACTTTAGCCACTATCCTTCTGCGACACTGGGTCTGCCTTAAAGTCAAACTCCTGGAAAAACATGATAATGGTCACACCGCACTGGCAGTGTTCATTATCATTAAAAAGATGTATGTTATGTGTGGAAGGTTGCTGCAATCTATAGAAATCATACCTTGCAGAATGCTGTCTCCTACACATAACACCCATATTCCGGGACCTGTGGGGAGTGGGACTAGAGCAGTGAAGTAGTAAGGTCGTATCACTTGCCCCTCCTCACTACTTGTATTCTACAACTCAGTTTGTGAATGGGCAAGTAGTGAGGAGGGGCAGGGATGCGATTGGAGTACTTCACTGCTCGAGTCACAATTCTCCCTCTCCTCAGGGCCCTGGAAGACCTGCATTATGTGTAGGAGCCGGCATGCTCCAAGGTAAGATTTTTATACTCTGCAGCAGCTCTCCACCTATAACACACAGCGTTTTATTGATAATTTATACAACCAGTGTGCTTGATCATTTTTCCCGGAGTTTGGCTTAAATTATTTTGAGTATAAGTGCAACCATTTTTTGGAGTTTTCTCATCCCTATTGTACTTCTATTAACTTTGTATTAAATTCATATTATGTAGTTGTACTAAACTTCATTCCGTTACACTTTATAGTGCTACATGATATGGTAGTGCTGTTCAAAGGGTTAATAAATTATGACAGCAATACAGAGCTGATTTGAGACATTGGTTGGATCAGTTCTGATGGTAAACTACAGATATGCATATGACAGCCCAATAACATTGTTGCAGTGCGTTAATGCATGCACGCGTTGTGTTATGTTCATCCATTTGTTTTAACTGGACTCTAAGCCCTCATTCACACTGGAATTGGCCTGCACGTACAGCTCCGTGCTGCGTGCAGGGCTGTACCGAGCAGCTCCCCGGAAGGACAGGTGCTGCTTGTGATTAAATACGCAGCCCCTGTCCTTCTTTATGGGACTATGCGGCTGTACGCTCACCTCAAGTGGAGGGCCGTAGGGGTGCGTGTTTCCTGGCTTGGACGCAGACAGGATCCATCCTGTCAGCGTACGAGTACGCTCACCCACACAGATGTGCAGGGTGGGTGAGCGTAGTCCCATAGAGAAGGACGGGGGCTGCATGATAATCACAAGCAGCACCTGTCCTTCCCGGGAGCCGCTTGGTACGGCCCCGCATGCATCACGGAGCTGTACGTGCAGGCTGATTCCAGTGTGAATGAGGGCTAAATATATGAAAAACAAAATTTTTAACTGCAGCATACAGTTATTCATTGTGGTGCTCTGTATAAGCACATTGGAGTGTCATTCAAAATGAACAGCAGCACACTGCAATGCCCATAGAACCATGCATTCATGTGCGTAGTGTGAAAATGCATGTTTTACAGCATATTATCACAACCCACACATGTGAATGCACCCTCATATTGTATCTAAAGCCAAACCTTTTTTTTTCTCTACTTCAGTAGCTAATTGGTAAAACTCAGATAGTCATAAAGTTGTCAGCAGAATATGTGCCCCATTGGAAGATTTCACCTCTATTCATGTTCTAGTGACAGCTCAAATTTTAAAATTTCCCTTTCACTAATCACTAGGTCAAGTAGAGAGGGTCAATTTCCTTAATGTGGACACAGCAGTAAAAGCCTATTCTAAACCTTCTTATCCAAAGCTAAAACAATTTTTTAAAAAACAAAGTTTTGGCTTTAGATACACTTTAAGCCAGCTGCACACATTAAAAGCAAGTATTGTAATTTCCTTTGAATTTACCAACACCTATGTAGGTTGATAGCCTATCTAAACAAGCTCTTCTTTTTATATTCAACCTAAGCAAACTTAGACCCAAACATATGGATATCATAAATCTTTCTGAAGCCATTGGATGACAAATCAGGATTATAGTAAAATAAAATATTTATTTAAAAGGTAACATTTGTATATTTAATAAAAAAAGACATAAAAGACATTAGGGATATAATTTCTTTCTTTTGGACCACTATGTGGCAGATCCCCAGAATATGTATACTGCTGCACAGCAGCAAAAACAGGCAATAATTCACAAGGTTGCTACACATCTATACACACAGGCATCCTGTCACTTCTTCACGACACACAATGCAACCTATACTCCAGTAGTTTGTCCATTAACAAAAAAGTCCTTATGATGCATGGCCCCTATGAGCCACACTTCTCCCCCTGACTGCCTGAGGGTTGGTCTTCTCAATTAGCATCTCTTCTTTTTTTTGCCGATGTGATGGAGCTGAAAGTGGAGCGGAGTGCCTGATTTCTTCAAAGTCAGTGTCCTCGCTTCTTGTGAACGGGCTGCATACTGTCTCCACCAATCCAATCATCACTCCAAAAAAGGCCAGCACGCTGCCCAACACGTACATTTTCACCATCTTCTTGTTGGGTTTCTGGCTGAGTATTTCTTTGGCAAAGGGGATCAATTCATTCATTGTCTCCATATTGAGAGATTGTACTGACTGATCCAATCTCGTATCTGTAGACAGAAACATAAAAGAAAAAGCAACGTTACTTATCCACCTGAGTTTGGCACTGATTACACCGAACTAGTAACTATAAAGAAATTCTACAATGTCCATTAACTACCAAGAAGACAATGGCCTTGCTTTCCCATTAACCACCTTGCAAATTCCAATTATATAGATATCATATTTGGTTTTATGTATCCACTACTAACAAAACAAATTATAAGTTCTAATGACTGATTGGACTAGTTGCACATATATCTAATTAATAAGAATTCATTAATAAGGTTATTCACAAAAGGGTGAAGGGTTAGGAGAAGTGAACAATCTAGGACAATATAGTTGATCTGGAAAGTGAGCTGAATTGCAGAATTTTTGCAGTTCAGCTTTGTTGTCCTAGATTGTTCACTTCTCCAGCCTTCTCCACACTCTTCACCCTTTTGTGAATAACCCTGTTAATGATAAGTAGGCAGAAAGCTGGATCATTTTTTGATCTGATACATTTTCTCAAAGAGAAATCTCAATCATGAGCCTCTAATATAAAACAAATCAAGCCAGCGATCTTACCTGATGTAAGAGTGTCTTATTCTAAATGACCAACTGGACTAGCTGTACATACATTTCATTCATACAGGCAGAAAGCTAGAATACTTGATCTGATACATTTTCTCAAAGAGAACTATCAATCATGAGCCTCCAATATAAAACAAATCAAGCCATTGATCGTACCTACTCCTGTAGAGTGTCTTATTCTAAATGACTGATTGCACTAGCTGTACATACACTCCATTCATAAGAAATGATTGGCAGACAGAAAGCTAGATTACTTTATATAGATTTTGTCATAGACATTTCAATCCTCAGCCTGTAATATAAAAGAGATGTAGCCATTGATCTTACCTGTCTATATAGAATGTGTTGCTTGGTTAGTATTTCTCTTGCGATCAGTTAGCATCAAGCTGTAAAGTCATCTGCTCGCATGTTGAAGCTGTATGCCTTTTAAATGGCTCTCCCCGCCCATGCAGCGACAGTCCAGCCCTTGTAGTGTTGTCTGGGAAGGGGTAGGAGGAGGAGGGGGGGAGTGAACATGTGCTGATCACGCAGCAGTCTTGGCGTCCTTTGTGAGCAGTCCACTAGCCAGTTCTATGTGCTCGCTGGGCTAGGGAGAGTGTGTGCAGGCTCGTATTGGTGCAGAGCATGCACTCTGCGTGCACATAGCATGCCGCCCCCCCTACTATTATCCGCAGTGGGGGGAGTAGACACTTTCCTATTGTAGCCATGTCTTGAAGTCTTCTAGTCACGTAGTAAACGTGCAGGATTCTTCTTATGACCTAAACAGAAGGAAACCCAAGCATTCCGGTCAGGGTTATGTGACCTGTCCTAGGGGCTCCAGTCCATTATTAGTTATGAGGAATGCTGGATGGCTTGAATAGGTTTCTTCTGCTGACAGTCTGTAGAAAACAAACTTCTTTATTGTATCTTTATTTTATGCTTTATGTTTGTATAATAAATTAATGATCATATTGTTATTATTATACAGGACTGATCGAGCTCCTACAGTTAGGGCAGCACTTCATGTCTTTTTTAAAATTTAGTCCTACTAGCATTTGTGGTATTATGATGCTTTTGTATGGCAGTGTTTGCAGTGGCGGACCTAAGGAACAAAGGGCCCCGGTGCAAGATTTTTTTTTAGGCCCCTCCCCCCCAAAAAACCAAAACGCCGCGCTCTCCTCCCGCAGCGCTCGGCCTGTCACTTTCTCTCCTCCCCGCTGGGACACAGAGCATCGCCCAGCGGGGAGGAAAGAAAGCAGGGATGCGCCACTGTATCGGCAGAAAAATGGCACTTTCAGAATTTTGCCAAAAGTGTAATTTTCGGCCGATATATCGATGCATCCCTAATATTTACAGCAATGCAGAATGGCACAGGCTATAGAGGACTACACATCCCAGCAATACGCTATATAACCATAGCATTTCTGTATAAAGTGCTGCTGAGATTTGTAGTCCTCTATAGAGGTTGTCATTCTGCATTGCTGCAACAGTACTTTGTACAACATCAGGCTACAAATAATAATTATGTTAATGAATTATTTACTCTTACCTCTTCTGGCCGGTCTTCTGACTTCATCTGTTTCCTATGTGTTTTCTGTTTGATGGGTCCTCACTGCCATCCGCGGCTCCATGGCTGCCCCATGATGTGCCTGATACATTGCCCCCCTTCTCTATATACATTGCCCCCCTCTCGCACACTCGGCCCCTCCCGCACACAGCCAAACGGGCCCAGCAGAGTGGGCGGGGACTGGTCAGTAGCAGCGCGCTGAAAACCTAGGGTTGCCATTGCAATAGAACGCTGAACCGGATCGGGAGCCGCGCTATACTGATTGTTTGTAGCTGTACTGTCTTCCCATTTGTTGCAAAGCGCTGTGCAAACTGTTGGGGCTATATAAATCCTGAAAAATAATATAGTCATAATTAGGGATGCATCGATACTGATATCAGTGCCAATAAAATGCTCCGATACTTAACCCGATACCAGAACTTCCCGATACTCTGATATAGGACACTCACCCCACGGGCAGCCTGAGGCCGAGTGTCACACGGTGTCCTCGTCATCGTGCGTGCGCCTGATGTCACCCCGCGCACACGCTATGGCGTCGTTGCGCATGTGCGACCGTCTGATTGACGCCTGCCGGTATCAGGGCCAGTGGTGTATCTAGGTTTTTCGCTGCCCCAGGCAAGACTCGCTTCGGTCGCCCCCAACAGCAACCCGGCCCCCCCTCCCCGGGCTGACGTGCACTCGTGACGCCGATCCAATTACCTCTCCACTTCCTAGGTCACAGAGCCGCTGTTCGCCCGCTGCAGTAGGATCGTTTCAGTGGCTGCCGGCTGCTGTTCATTCAATCTTCGGGTCAGTACCTTACCATCGTCTACGCTGTCGGCCTCCCGCCCTCCCACCTTCTTCACAAGCACAAGCAGGCAGGCCGCCCTCCACCCCCAAACAAAAACGGGCTCCCGCTCTCCCCCCTTTCCACACCGTAGAACAAGGTGTTTGACTACGGTCGCCCCACAGCAAGGTGCCGCCCTAAGCAAACTAATAATGATAATATGAAAGCGGACCTTCACCCTAACCACCCCCTTTGTCTGTTTTTTCCTCCCAAATGCCTTCTTACCTTTGGACCCCCACTTTTGGCATTCTCACCTACAGGGATATCCCTATAGTTTTTGCCACCTGAGGCTGTCATTCTGTGGTGCTCTCCGCTATTTGTCTGTCTGGGAGGGGTGCTTCTTGTTTTTACTTACTTGTTTTGTCAGCTCACTGACATTACTGTTTAAAAGGAGCTCGGCGGGATGCCAGCCAGAGTGTCCTGCTCAGCTCCTGGCAACCAGTGCCATCAATGAGATGTGTGGTAAGCTGTACAGTTCGTTCCAAGTTGCTAAGAGCTCTTAGCAATCTGGGACGCTGTGAGTGTCCTCAAACGCTCCCCCAACCGATCACCCCCCCCCAATAAGATGCCACCTGAGGCAACCGCCTCGGGCTGCCTCATTATAGGAACTGCCCCGCTCACCTAGGTGAGGATTACATCCCATTCCACAAAGTCTCCTAGGATACTGATGTCACACATCTTAGGTGCCTTTGTGGTGCTCTAAAGCACATGCACCTTTGTGCATTACTTTCTTGCAACAACCCAGAAAAGTAGATGTCGGAGCAGGACCCACCACAGAATTCACTGGACTCACATATATACTATATGTGAGTATATAATTCAGGCTAACCCAGTGAACAAGGTAATTAGGGATTAAAGAAAAAAATGGCACGGGGTAGGGTGAAGTTTCTGTTTTAGATGATATGCAAAGCACAGTGACCCTTAGGGCCCAGTCACACCATATCCGAGTCGTGTCCTGGGGGGGCAGGGGGCGTGGTGATGCTATTCATGTCAATGGCACCATAGACGCTCCCGCCCACAGTGCGATCGCCCACACCAGAATGCAAGGTAAAGGATTACCCTCTGTTCAAGTGCAGCGCGATTGGAAAAAATGCTGCCTGCTCTATTTTTTCAGATCGCATTGCACTGGATGGAAGGGCATTTCTGTACATCGCATTCCGGTATGGGCAATCGCACTGTGGGCGTGTCTGTGGTGCCATTGACATGCATGGCACCACCATGCCCCCTCCTGCCCCAGAACACGGCCTGACTTGATTTCTGCAATCTAGAGCATTTCGGCCACGAATCGTGCAGAAACGCACTGGATATGGTGTGACTGGGCCCTGAGCAAGCTCAAACCGTCTAATAGTCCAATCAACCTAACAGTGGTTACCCGTATTAATGCGATCATTGTGACTATACTGATCGAATCAAAGAAAAAGTGCAAACCAAAGGCCCTTCGGCATCAGTGAACTACTGTTCGATCTGCACTCGGCTGCAGCAAAAGTTTGAACAAAAAAGAACTGTCTGTATTTATGAAAGAGAATAATTTGTAATATAGATTAATCAAGCGATCAGTTTCAGTCAATTTATGAATGATTGATTGTGTTATCGACAATTCAATTGATGGTGAATCCCTTGTTTCTGACCACTTGTACCCAGATTGGTTACAAATTGCTCCACCACCAAAGTGAAATCTGATTAGTCTCTATGGGTCATTGTACTCGGCACACTGTTTGCACGTCAAACCGTCTTACCGAACATGTTTGTAGTGTTAAGTTTGTGGGCAAACACCAGTTTTGGGACCAAATATAATTTTTTGTTCCAGGTATGTTTCATAAACAAAAGATGTTGTGACCTTACACAAAATGTATACTGACATAGTCACTAACGACAATAGGTGCCAGGACATAGAAGCTTCCAGTACAGTAAGGTGGTCTGTACATTCAATGACTTGTATAACAGGCCAACAAAAATTCTTGGGGGAGAAACGGGCACCTTTTATCCTCCTTACAGCACATAGGATACACACTAGTGGGCTACACATACAAAATACAGCTTTTGGATAGAACAACCATGGCAGAGCTATGCATGTCAATGGAAATGTAAAAAGTGCTTGGAATGTGTGGATTATAATAAATATTTTAGTGTAGTTATAGAGGTCCTGACACAGTGGGAATAAAGGTGTTTATTTGTTTATAATGTTTATCTTTCTAGCTATACACAGTGTATGTTCTTGTAGCTTGCTAGTCCTATGTCTTAAGTTGGTTGCTAAGTTGGTTTTTAACGAGTCAGTCAATTATCTCTGTTCTGGAGCGTGTCCTCTGTGAGCCGCATACTTGTTACCTTTGACCTACATAGGATCTGCACTTACAATCATAGTACATCTTGTCTATCAATAATACCTGATGTATTCCGGAAACGAATCATGTGATAATCTTATAAAAAAATTAATAAAATACTTTATATGCACTCTAATTTTTTTCAAGTTGTTTCAGTAAATTATGTATTAATGAGATATGAAGACAACTTTTAAAACATGAGCATTCCTTTTGAATGGGTCAAAATTTGAGCCATGGGTGGCCCTGTCAGCACCACTTGTCTCAACAAATTTTGATTATAAAGTTGAAGGAGCTGGGGGGAAACTTGTCAAGTCAGGCAGTGACTGCATGCGATCAGAATGCAGTCACTGTTCCGGTAATCAGACAGTCAGAATACAATAGCAGGAAGGTTAGATTCCTCCATCCATGTTGTTTACCCATGTTGGGGCAATTGGCTGATTGGCTGAGAGGAAATTGTACAGAGATTTTGCAATCAGAATGATTAGTTATTATTATACAGGATTTATATAGCACCAACAGATTGCACAGCACTTTACAAAATGGAGGGAGACAGTACAGTTACAATACAATTTCAATACAGGAGAGTTAGGAGGGTCCTGCTCATAAGAGCTTACAATCTATTAAGAGGGGTAAGTGATACAAAAGGTAATAACTGTGTGGGATGAGTTAATGGAAGAAGTAAAAGGACAGATATTAGGTGGAAGTCGGATAGGATTCCCTGGAGAGATGAGTTTTCAAGGATCATCTAAAAGGTGAACAGAGTAGGAGATGTGAACAGATTGCGATAGGGAGTTCCAGAGGATGAGAGACACTCTTGAGAAGTCCTGGAGGTGAGCATGGGAGGTGGTGACAAGAGCTGGAGAACAGGAGGTCTTTAGAGGATGGTGTGGGTGATATTTTGAAATGAGGTGGGTGATGTAGCTGGGGGCAGAGTTGTAGATAGCTGTGTATGATTTGTTTGGTATTTTGAATTTTATTCGTTGGGCAATTGGGAGCCAGTGGAGGGACTGGCAGAGAGGGGCAGCGGATACTGAACGGTTGGTAAGGGGGATGAGTCTGGCAGCAGCCGAGGAACACTCCAACTGTGGGCATGGATAGTAGCCCAGCACAGAGAGTGATGTCACAAACTAGATTAAAGACCTCCTTACCTGTATCCAACAAGCTACTTGAACCCTCTGTGATACAAGGGGTATCGGAAAAGTCACGACTTAAGAGGCAAGTGTTCAAGACACAATATGACACATCTGCAAGAAATTTGCCTGAATTGAATATTGGGGAACGAATCCGTATGAAACCGCTGCCTGGGGATCGAACAAGTCGTTGGAGAATAGGTACTTTTCTGCGAAAGGTTGCACCACGCTCCTATCTTGTGGACATTGACGGAACTCTCTATCGTTGTAATCGTTTGGATTTGCGTGTGGCTGAAAAGCCTGATTCACATTATCCAGTTGACTGGCCAGACTCGCCTGGTAATGCAAAGACAAACTCACACATTGGCAGTAAGGAATGTACAGAGGTGATGCCTCAGACTAATATTAATGACAGTCCGGGGCAAGCAGGTATATCGGACGGCAGTGAAGAGCAGAGCATGCCAGTAAGTGGTGAGAAGAGCCCAGTAACCTCCGGGAGGGCTAAGAAACTTTTTATACAGCGAGGGCCAGTCTTCACCCGTAGTGGTAGACATTCACAACCACCTAAAAGACTTAACCTGTAAATGTGTTATTACAAGAATTCATCCAAATTTCACAATGATCATTTATTAAAATTAAAAGAGGGAGATGTTATGAGTGTTATGTTTGGTTTATATGCAACTCTATGGGGGTGATTTACTAACCTAAACACACGCACACCAGGTGCGTGTGATTTTTACACAGCAAAGCGTATTTATCAACCAAAAAGTCTCTATAAGCATATTTCCACTAATGCCATATATGGAAAAATCATGCACATGATGCATATATAATGCTGCTTCACAGTTTAGACAAAAATAGTTAGCTCATGCATTTACATTCCTGCATTCATCAACGCAAGCAACACAATGTAGAGCTAATTTACACAACATCACCTTGCAATTCAGGGCAGGGCTTTGCACAACACACCTGCTGGGTGTGTACACACTACAAAGGTGTTTAGATTCCACCCATAGATCATGCTGGGAGGGAACACACTACAGAGGTGTATACATGTTCGTGGTGTGTTTATAAGGTTAGTAAATCAACCCCCATGATTCATCTCTATGGCACTTGCTTCCTGTGATGCGTTTCCTGTTCTGTTCTGTGGGTTCTCTTCTAAGCAGGGCCGGCCTTAGGCCTTTAGGCGCCCCGTGCGAGAAAGCTTTACAGTGCCC